CCTTGTCAAAAATTAGGTGCTCATAGGTTTGTGGGTTAATATCCGGGTCTTCTATTCGATTCCAAAAGTCGATTTCTCTGTTCTTATGCCAATACCAAGCTGTTTTCAATACTGTAGCTCTATAATAGAGTTTGAAGTCAGGGATGGTAATGCCTCCTGAAGTTCCTTTATTGTATAAGATTGTTTTGGCTATCCTGGGTTTTTTGTTTTGCCATATAAACTTGATTATTGTTCTCTCAAGGTCTGTGAAGAAGTTTGATGGGATTTTGATGGGGATTGCATTGAATCTATAGATTGCTTTTGGTAGAATTGCCATTTTTACTATGTTGATTCTCCCAATCCAAGAGCAGGGGAGGTCTTTCCATTTTCTGGTATCCTCCTCAATTTCTTTCTTCAAAGACTTAAAGTTTTTGTCAAATAGGTCTTTCACTTCCTTGGTTAGAGTAACCCCAAGATATTTTATGCTATTTGTGGCTATCATGAAAGGTGATGTTTCTCTGATTTCCCTCTCTGCTTCTTTATCCTTTGTGTATAGGAAGGCCACTGATTTTTTGGAGTTGATCTTGTATCCTGCCACGTTACTAAAGGTGTTTATCAGCTGTAGGAGTTCTTTGGTAGAGTTTTTGGGGTCACTTATGTAAACTATCATATCGTCAGCAAATAACGAAAGTTTGACTTCATCCTTTCCAATACGAATCCCCTTGATCTCCTTATGTTGTCTTATTGCTATTGCTAGAACTTCAAGCACTATATTGAAGAGGTATGGAGAGAGTGGACAGCCTTGTCGCGTTCCTGATTTTAGTGGAAAGGCTTTGAGTTTCTCTCCATTCAGTTTGATGTTAGCTGTCGGCTTGGTGTATATTGCTTTTATTATATTTAGGTATGATCCTTGTATCCCCAGTCTCTCCAACACCTTTATCATAAATGGGTGTTGAATTTTGTCAAATGCTTTTTCAGCATCTAGTGAGATGATCATATGGTTTTTTTCTTTCAGTTTATTTATATGATGGATTACATTGATAGATTTGCGAATGTTGAACCAGCCCTGCATCTCTGGAATGAAGCCGACTTGATCATAATGGATAATTTTTCTAATGTGCTCTTGGATACGGTTTGCCAGTATTTTATTGAGAATTTTCGCGTCAATGTTCATGAGTGAGATTGGCCTGTAATTCTCTTTCTTGGTTGTGTCTTTGTGTGGTTTTGGTATTAGGGTAACTGTAGCTTCATAAAAGGAGTTAGGCAATGACTCTTCTGTTTCTATATTGTGGAATACGTTAAGGAGTATAGGTATTAGCTCTTCCTGGAAGTTCTGGTAGAATTCTGCATTGAAACCATCTGGTCCTGGGCTTTTTTTGGTAGGGAGATTTTTGATAACAGCTTCTAATTCTTCGCGACTAACAGGTCTATTTAGATTGTTCACCTGTTCTTTGTTCAACTTTGGTATATGGTACTTATCTAAAAAAATGTCCATTTCTTTTACATTTTCCAACTTTGTGGCATATAAAGTTTCGTAGTAAGATCTAATGATTCTCTGAATTTCCTCTGTGTCTGTGGTTATGTCCCCCTTTTCATTTCTGATCCTATTAATTTGCACGTTCTCTCTCTGCCGTTTGATTAGTTTGGATAGGGGTTTGTCAATCTTGTTGATTTTCTCCAAGAACCAGCTTTTTGATTCATTGATTCTTTGGATTGTTTTCTCTGTTTCTATTTTGTTGATTTCAGCCCTCAGTTTGATTATTTCCAGTCTTCTACTCCTCCTGGGTGAATCAGCTTCTTTTTTTTCTAGAGCTTTCAAGTGTGCTGTTAGGTCTCCAATGTGTGCTTTCTCCGTTTTCTTTATTTGGGCACCTATTGCTATGAACTTTCCTCTTAGCACTGCTTTCATAGTGTCCCATAGGTTTGAGTATGTTGTGTCTTTGTTTTCATTAAATTCAAGGAAGTCTTTAATTTCTTTCTTAATTTCGTCCTTGACCCAGGGGTGATTTAGTAGTTGACTGTTCAACTTCCATGAGTTTGTTGACTTCCTGGGGTTAGCATTGTTGTTGAATTCTAATTTTAATCCATGGTGATCTGACAAGACACAGGTGGTTACTAATATTTTTTTGTATCTGTGGAAGTTTGCTTTGTTACCGAGTATGTGGTCAATCTTCGAGAAGGTTCCATGAACTGCAGAGAAGAAGGTATATTCTTTCCTATTTGGGTGGAGTGTTCTATAGATGTCTGTTAAGTCCATTTGATTCAATACCTCCAATAAATCTCTTAATTCTCTGTTTGGTTTCTGTCTGATTGACCTGTCCATTGGTGAGAGAGGAGTGTTGAAGTCTCCTACTATTAGCGTGTGTGGTTTGATGACTGCCTTGAGTTCTAGAAGAGTTTCTTTTACATAAGTGGGTGCCTTTATATTAGGGGCATAGATATTCAGGATTGAGACTTCTTCCTGATGAGTTGTTCCTGTTATGAGTATGAAATGTCCATCTCCATCTCTTCTGATTGATTTTAGTTTGAAGTCGATTTTGTTAGATATTAGAATGGCCACACCTGCTTGTTTCTTAGGTCCATTTGCTTGGAAAACCTTTTCCCAACCCTTTACTCTGAGTAGGTGTCTGTCTTTGTGGTTGAGGTGTGTTTCTTGTAAACAGCAGAATGTTGGATCCTGTTTTCGTATCCAATCTCTAAGTCTGTGCCTCTTTATAGGTGAATTGAGTCCATTGATATTAAGAGATATTAATGACCAGTGGTTGTTGACTCGAGTCATTTTTTTTTTTTTTTGGGTAGTAGAGTGTATGTGTTTTCCTTCTTTGGGTTGTGCTAGTGAAGGGTCGCTAGATGTCTGAGTTATTGTAGGCAGTGTTGGCAATGTTGGATTCCTTGGGTTGTAATTTTCCTTCTAATATTCTCTGTAAGGCTGGATTAGTAGTTACGTACTGTTTAAATTTGTTTTTATCCTGGAATATTTTGTTTTCTCCGTTGATAGTGAATGAAAGCTTGGCTGGGTATATTAATCTGGGCTTGCATCCATGGTCCCTTAGTTTCTGCAGTACCTCTATCCAGGACCTTCTGGCTTTCATGGTTTCTATAGAGAAGTCTGGTGTAAGTCTGATAGGTTTACCTTTATAGGTTACTTGACCTTTTTCCTTTGCAGCTCTTAATATCCTTTCTTTAATCTGAATGCTTTGTGTTTTGATTATTATATGGCGAGGGGATGTTTTTTTCTGATCCAGTCTATTCGGTGTTCTGTATGCTTCTTGCACCTTCATAGGAATATCACTCTTTAGGATGGGAAAGTTTTCTTCTATAATTTTGTTGAATATATTTTCTGGACCTTTGGTCTGCAATTCTTCTCCTTCTTCTACTCCTATTATTCTTAGATTTGGTTTTTTTATTATGTCCCATATTTCCTGAATGTTTTGTGATGAGAATTTGTTGGATTTGCTGTTTTCTTTGGTCAGGGCATTTATTTTCTCTATGGTGTCTTCATAATCTGAGATTCGTTCTTCTATCTCTTGTATTCTATTGGTTATGCTTGTTCCTGAAGTCTCTGTTTGTTTACCTAGATTTTCCATATCCAGCCGGTCCTCGGTTTGTGTTTTCTTCACTGCCTCCATTTCAGTTTTCAATTCTTGAACTAATTCCATTACCTGTTTGATTGTTTTTTCTTGGTTTCCCAGGGTATCATTTACGAATTTACTTATTTCTTCAAATTTTTTGTTATATTTGTCTTCCATTTCTTTACTCATTTCTTCCATCTTTTTGTTATATTTCTCTTCTATTTCTTTAAGTGAGTTATTCATACCCTGTTTAAGAGACTCTATTGCTTTTATAATGACACTGTTTTCCACTTCTTCCGGTATAGGGTGTTCAAGTCCTTCTGTCATAAGATCGCTGGGATCTGGTGTTTTCGTGTTGTTTTTCAGATTGTTGGAGGAATTCTTGCCTTGGCGCCTGCCCATCTCTTCCTTCAGATGCTCTCCAATGGCTCTTCCCTCCACTGGGTCTTTTGCTACTGGATTAATGCCCCTTGCTATCCAGGAATCACTTTGCCTGCAGCCTTAGGTTGCTGCAGGCAGGCAATTAGAACAAAGGGATTTCCGTCCCTTTGCACTCACCGCCTGTACGTCCCGCGGTGCCCACCCCGGCTGAGATGGAGGAATTTAAGCCCCGAAAAAAGGAGAGGGGAGGGTATGGGTTCCAGACAGAAAGCTGGGATGGCGTTGCAGGAGAGAGGGAATAGCTGGGGAAGCTGCCCCTTTGGAGTAGTCAGGGAGATAAGGGTGG